TAAATAAGTAGAAGAATCTTCACCACTGTAAAAACATCTGAATTGCCAAATTTCCAAAAAACACAATTGAAAAAGCTGTGCTTGCTGTCAATTTTCAAGTGAACCTCGATTTTTCATTCTTCTTTATTCTTTTTTTTAAAATTAGAATTTGTACAAAATATTCAGAAGCAAACCAAGAGTCTTACTGGTAGACCTAGGTTAACCATGGCATATTGTTGTTTACCTGACAATCTACGTCTAGAATTGATCCTATGCACTCGTATGAAACGGTGTTGCACAGTACCTACAGCATTCTGTGAGCTTGTTGAATCTTCCTAAGTCAAAGGTTTTTTTTTTTTTTTTTTTTTTTTTTTTTTTTTTTNTTTTTTTTTTTTTTTTTTTTTTTTTTTTTTTTTTAGTTGAAGCTTGCTGTGAACTTTCTAATCATTGATGATTCATAATTAATGCTGTAATATTATGATTTTCAGGGACTAAAAACAGCGGAGAAGAATAGCTTGCTCAGTCTTTTTAGGCCTCGCAACACAAATTCCTTCGTCACTGGAACAACAAAAATGGGCAGTCCGAAGCATGATATGAGCAGTATTAGAAAACTGAATAACCTAATCAAAATCAATTGACACCTTTTTCTGCCTAGACAACTCGTCTTAAATTGGCTGTGTACAGTTTTGAGTTGTATGCAGATTTCTCTTTTTCATCAAAAGTCAACATGCAGGGTAATTTTCTCAATGTAATGATGCTCTAAAATTCAAAAATTGTATTTTATATAGGATGGATTTTTTTTTGGAATGGACGGCTTCAGATGTTTGCCATGTAGAATTAGTTATTCCAGTGATCATTAAACTGAAATATGTTCCACCTTGCTAGAGAAAAATCGTTTCAGTTTTATGCTGGCTTTTTCTTTGAATTTCATTAAGTTGGATCAAATCAAAATGTGGAATATATCAATAAAATGTATCGAGCTGTATTAATCTGATGTGCGAGTATTTGGATTGAATTTAGCCAAAGGGAGCCAAAGCATCTACATTGTTGTGAAAATCATGCAAATTAATATCCATCTCAATAAACCTGAGAGCTCACATCCTTTTGGTTTTTCTACCAAAAAATTGTCAATTTTTTAAAAAAAATAAACTACTCCGTACAAAATTTTATCTGAAGAATATGCATTCAGTTTTTTTTAAAAGGAAAGAAAAAGTTGCATAATTTTGACAACATTGCGATTGCGTCGGTTCCTTTCTGCAAAATTCGATCCTTTTAATCACATAACTATTCATGAGAGGAAATACCCTCTGTTTTCACCAGTAGTAGTTATTCAGTATGATAGCGGCTACATTGTCAGTCATTGCGGGGTTTCAAGGTTAAACGCCACTATTGAAATAGCAGCATTCCATGACCATCAGTTACCATCTTTGAAATTGCAACCTCCCATACCAAACCAGGTTTTAATTTTGATTTTAAAGGGAATCAAACCGACAGGATTAGTGTTTTTTGATTTTTTTTTTTNAAAAAAAAAAAAAAACAATAACAGCATTGTCAAAACTGAGCTTATCAATTAGACTGTTTGATTGTAGGCCTTTTTTGCGTGGCGCCTACAATGCAAATGTTGCATGTGAGCTGAAGAAAAGGACTGTTAATTTATGAAAAGTAACCAGACAATTATAGTATTTTTGTTTTCATTTAATTTTATTTTCTTTTGAGTACAAAGTGTACAAAGTGTGTCAAGTAGAATATCGAAGTGACATTTTCACTTCATTTAATGCATCATACACCAGGCACTTTTTAATCTTATTGGCATAAATCTTAATCATGAAAAGTAAATCTTGCTTTGATTATCATTAAGCTGAGGTTTTCTCGAGGTTTAAAATCTTTTGTTTAGGGGTCATTCAAGTATTACGTAAGTCATTTTGGTGGATATTTTTACCTCCTTTTATCCCTGTAATCCACCCTTAAGCCAACCTGTCACTCGCCTCTTTTTTCAGTTATGCAAGCTGGCTTGACCTCCCCTCCCCACATAAGTGGCCTTTGTAATACTTGAGAGACTTCCTAGTTTTTATGTATGTTTTCGTCTTGACAATTATGTCCTGAGTGCAATTGCTCATTGTTGCATTAGCTCTTTTTCCTTTCAAGAATTCAATGTCTTTCATTTGTTTGAATCCAAACAATGTATAAAGTTAGCTTTTTACTTTTTTAATAACATTCCATCCGTCAACAATCACAAGTTGAAGCAAAGTCAGGCAGTTAAGTACATTATCAAATTGTTTATTCCCTCAGCCCGGTAAGGGAAAATCTTGTATCATCTTTTTTGTTAGTTTATTTTCAATATTAAAGTATATTTATTGTTGTTATGCATGACCAAATTTTTAAGAAGGAACCTATTTTCCAAGTGAATGGTTTTCCTTAGCGGTTTCTGAGTCATTAGAAAAGAAAATGAGTGAAATTGAGTTTCTGTCCAGCATTATTGGAAGCAGAGCTCAGACTCTTTTAATTTGTATTATTTTTACCCTCTAAGCAAACACTGAATAATTTAGAGAATCCTTGTAAGTTATTGCATGATTATTAATTTTTTCCTTTTATTTAAATGAAGAGGAAAGAAAAATATGTGTTAATTATTACCAAAAAAATCTCATCACTGTCGTTTTTCAGTCTTTTGGCAAGGTCTAATTTAAATTCAAGTAACGATTTTCTTATATTCTTCCACCAAAAAGCATTACCCAAAAATCTACCCATTAAAAAATAACTCGGCCAATAGGAATAAGCTTCTGAACAAGGTACGAACCACAGCACTGTATTATATGTTTTCTTTTCAAACTTTTACAAAAAATATAAATCACACAACAAAAAGTCTGGAAATCAACATTGACGAAATGACAAAAATACAAATAGTGTCATTTGTATAGTCTAACCCTCTTTTAATAATATTACATAATGTTTTGTTCAGGAGTTAATTTAAGAATTTTCTGTTTAGTGAATTTGCTGGAAAATTTCAGTGTAAGGGAAAGTTATGAGTGACAACTTAGATTCTCTTCACATAACAAATACTTTCATTGAAAAATTTTCGTTTTTAAAACTTGTGTAATTAAAATATCTGATCTACTCAAACATCTGTCATACTAAGTGTGTCCATCATTGTACCGTCTACGTTTTGTTATTATTTTGAAAATTTCTTTGGTGTGAGAAGATAATTTCTTAATAAAATATTTCATTGTTGAAAGACACATAGTAGGTATTCGATTTTAATTCTGATCCTGTCGTTTAAAAATTACATCACTGACGAATTAATGAGCCGTCAGAAAGGAAGGTTTTCTGCATTTTGATGACTGAAGTCAAAAATGCATAGTTCAGATTGCAACATTATAAGTCTCCGCTCATTTTTATTTCTTTACAAGAAAACTAACCAACAGTTTCTCTCGATATTTTCTCAGAATTTTCCTCACTTATCCCAAAAAAATCTCTCAAAATTGCAAAGTTATATTTTGATTAGTTTTTCTTGAAGAAATTAAAATATAATCAGAGATTTTTAAACGTTGCAATTGAGGTACCTACACATTTTTTGCATTTAATAATTGATATTCCTTTTCTTATGACCTCTCTCTTCTAAAAAATTACTTATGCTGAAGTGTAGAGGCTGAAAGAGATACCAGTGTTCTCTGTTAACAAAAACACACTTGATGGGTATATCAAATATTCTTTGCGAATATAGGGGTCCCAAATCTTAAAGTTTGAGGGCCCTTATGACACCCAAAATTCCAGTCCTAGGGCCTCTTTAAATCTGCCTTTTAAACTTCAAGGACCTCCAGAGGATCTGGTCGGATTTTTTGCTAGATAGAGAGATAAAAAGACGGTAACATTGAAAGGAAAAAAAAATCGCCCTTTTGCGGCCCGACTATTGAAATTATGTCAGCCCGATACAACAAGACATAGCCCTATCTTAACCCTGCAATATATCGCAATTCGATGTCTTATCGGGCTGCTTTAAACGTTCAATAATCGGCCCGCAGGGGGCTTGTGGGGTCTGGGCTTGTAGTGCCACAGTACCTACCTCGCCTACCCCGGCCTTGTAGTTGTTAGCATTCTTATGGAATCATGTGTGCCTCAGATAATTCTGATATTAGACTCTTATGTTACGTCTTCAACTTCAGAAGATGTGACTAAAGTTACGACCTCGAGAAAAAGAGTAAGAGTCTCCAAGTCGCCTTCAAAACTCGAGGATGCGACTAATCATACACTAACTTATCCAGCCGAAGGGGCATGGAAAATACAGTTTGCCAACCATACAGTTCTTGTATCGGCAGTAAAATTTGTTCGCTCAGGTTGGTACAAACTCAAGTGAGGTGTGCGAGTGAGCATGTGTGAGTGAGGTCGTCCTCTGGAGCGCAACTGGACAAGTGAATCTCTTCCAATTTTGTTTTTCATTCCGGCCTTTATTTTTTTGATTAATTTAATTGTGTAGTGGAGGAACAATTACAAAAATGCCTGTTTTTCATACGAAAATAATCGAGAGTATTTTGGAGCCTGTTGCTCAGCAGGTAAGCAAGTTTTCTCGTCTCATACCGTGGCTGCATTCGCCACGAACTTGTGCTCGAATGATTCTGAAACTAATCATCGAAACTTCTAATCTTTATTAATTTTTTAATATAATCAACAGTTTAACATGAGGATTCGACTCTCTCTAATCTCCTTGAAATCTATGTATGTATCTCTTCGTTGGTGTTCCTCCACGGTTTCGTGGCCTCTGATGCAAGCTCCAGTTTGTTTACTTTTGGGCGTGATATGATAAAGAGTATGAAATTTGTCATCACTCACGTATTTGAATTTTATTACGAATTGGATGACTCACTCTTTTGCTATTTCTGCGCCGATAAAAGTGTTTCCTCTCCCACTTTCTTCCTCTTTTGTTTCACTGGAAACGATTCTGTCATTATCCAGAGCAACCAATGAAGTTTACCTCAAAACACTTCCTCTAACATTCCCTTTTAAGGAGATGATCCTGAAAATGAAAATGACATAAAGTCAATGTATTTCCTCTTATTACCCTTAACTTTATTCCCCTATTTTCCCCTGTTGTATGCAAGTTTAGGTACTTAATTAAGTCTCTGACCAAAGTACTGTAAACTTGAGAGTACTGTTTCAACTTGATCACTATTTATACGGCTCTAGACCATACTCACTACTCTACTCTGCTCTATTTTTATACCTGTTGTCTTATTTCAAAACAGTTTTTTGGCAGGCTTTCCTGATACTTGTCCCATTGAGTTGACTGTGCTTTCTGAGTTTTGGAAATGCTTTGTTGTGAGAACTTTCACAATAACAGACGTCTGTCAATATTCTCTCGTCGCTATTTTTAACTTCCTTAAACCCTGAACTGACTTATCAATTCAATTTCTTTTCTTCTTCTCTGTAGTTTACCCCAAGCAAAAGATTGTGATCACATGGATTTCATCATTTAGACCTGCTTCATAGGTTTAAGCTGTCAAACTCTATATATTTTTTTCTTCAATAGAAGTCTAATCTTCAGCAGAGGAGCATTTTAAGCTAAAGTATCAATATTGTTACTGCGGATCAGATGGAAAATTGAAAGGAAGTTTTATGCGACATAATATTTCAAGTTTCAATTTAGTTTGTCATCTGCTTTCGATTTTCATTATCATTATCTTGCGATACTTCAATTTTTTTGTGCTACACTTACTGAATGCTGGATGAAAAATTGACCGGACAAATTGGGCTCATGCTATGAGATGTAAAGAATAAATATAAGTACTTATTGATGTTGAAACTACAAAATCATGCATCTCAATTTGCAGCATTGTGGATTATCTGTCGCATTTTACCATTTTGAAATTTTATCGGTCATTGGCACCGATCAAGTTCAATAGATCAAGTTAAACAGATATTTATTTATTTTTTTTTCTTTCTTTTTTTTCCCTTCAAATGTCTAAATGCCTGCCATTTTCAATCAAGGATATTTACATGCCAAAAGTGAAGGAAGAAATTTTTTTTTCACTTACTAGCTGTGCCTACAATATGCCTAGGTGGTAGTTTCTCCTCTAAATGTTATCCCTTCGACTTTATGAAGTCGATGTACTTAAGTCAGACTTTAAGGTGCACTGTTCCAAATGCATATTCTGCTGGATTGTTGAGCATTCATTAGAACTTTTGAAATTTTATAAAAAAAATTCCTGAACGTTTCTGTTATAGTTTTACCATTTTAATAATTTTTTTTTTTCCATGTGTCCGACAAAAATTGAAAGTAAGTGTCTGTAAGGAGCAGGTTACCTCCCGAAAACTAGCGGACCATTCAAATTTTTCAGAGGAGTCTGAGTTACAACCCACAAAACTAGGAACTATCCGAGGTGCTTCTGTATTCTAATTAAAATCAACTGTACCCCCTTGGTTTTCAAGATGGTGTTCAATCACTAGATATGCACCTGAGATACTTAGATGAATTTTAAGAAGGGAAGGTCGCATTTTATCAAGAAGCAACAGCAGCAGAGCATGTAATGAGGGTTTTAAAATATTTTAAAATATGGAATCACAAGCTTGGCTCCTGTTTGGGCAAGTTTCCAAATGTCAAATGAAACATTACGTTCTGCTCTTACCGTGTCACTATCTGGCTCCTGTAATCAACTCATGAAATCGTAAGGTAGGCGGAAAGAAAAAAAAATAAATTCAAATGACCCACATATGTTGATGATGAAATAGAGTAATCTCACTGCCAGATATTCATCACGAGTCAAGTATCTTTGACTGAGAAGCTCTCTTTTCCCTCTCTACATCTTGTATACCACTGGATGCTCTTATGCTCAGCTAATATTGGTACCAATACTAGTCCTCCAAGGTAGGTAGATGAAAGCAGATGCAACTTACTGCTGAGCTAAAGAAGAACGCCGTATGAACATTCGAATGTTGCCAAATTTCCCCTGATAAAATATCTACTTTTGAGGAAACTCATGTATATTTTTCCTTGAAATTTCTTGATATTTTTGGTGGGTTGGATTGCAAAAAAAAATTGTTAAAAACTGCTAGGAAATTATTCACAATTTTCCCAGTAAATTTGGTTTACATTGAAGGAAATGTGGCAACGTCTGAAGGCTTGTATAACGTTTTTCCTGTGCATAGCAGTACTGTTTACACAACTTTTTTACAAATAAGTTTCTAAAATATTATTTATAACACACATTTCACTTGATGATCTTGAATGGTAATCCTTTTTTTTTCATGTAGGTGTCCGGTCTAATAATCCTCCATGAAGAAGGTGAAGATGGGAATGCAATGCCAGATCTGGAACGGCCAGTTTTTGCTGTCAGCAAAGCAGTCACAAATCTTATCAAAGTGAGTTAAAATTAAAATGTTTTTAAGCTGCGATGGTGTCGAAGAGTGGCAAAATTTTCAATTTTGCTCGGCCCGGCAGCTTTTGTTATTCAACCACTACTGGCCACAGCCAGATTGAGACTAGACCTCAAAGAGCAATTAAGAACAAGGCAAATGAAAAACTATCAATTCTTATTCAGAAAATGAGATATTCTGATTTCTTCCACTAACTGTAAGAAGGAAGTAAAGGCCCCTTAGCTTCCATTCTTAATGTAGGAACTCAATTAAATTTTAAAGAGCGAAAGATACCATGTTGTTTGGCTCACTCAAGCTTGTTAGACCAATCCAGTTTCAACGGAAAAAGATGGCAAAGATTGGTGTTTTACAATGACAAACTGTTGGTAATAATGACTGTCCTGGCACATGTAAGTATAAGTTAACCAAAAAAAAGTAAGGCGTAGTGACTGATTCAAGGGAAATTAATCACATATTGTACAAATATACCTCAGAGATATGATAGTTCTTACAAGAATAAGTGAGTAAATTACTTGTGAGGTGACCCTTTCTGCTGATTTTTTATTTTACCCTCTCTATTTCATTGTTTTCTATGCCTCAGGTTGGCAGAGAAACCATCAACAGTAGTGACGATCCAATCCTCAAACAAGATATGCCCGCATCTCTTCATAGGGTGGAAGGTGCTTCCAAACTATTGGAGGAAGCTTCAGGAATGCTTAAAGTTGACGCTTACTCTGGACCTGCTAGGTAATAATGATTCTTTAAGCTCATTGAATGAAACCAGAATCAAGATAAAAATTTAAGTATTTGTCATGCATCTGTACTACTATATTGGTGTACTTTGTTTCAATTTTTTTACATAATTTTTTATTTCATTGATTTTCTGTAGCTCCTAAGAATCAGCATGTATTTTGTAGTCCTGAGACATAATATTTCCTCATTTTGTATCTATAGACATGAAGTTAAATCTTCTTTCAATCTTTAAGACTAAAGGCATGTTTATTATGCCAGACTTTTCTCTCACATCCAAGTAAGAAGTTTCCATAGTTGTTCTGTTTTCGAATGTACCTATTCTAAAGAAACAAAAGTGACATCCTGAAAAACATTATTTTGACAGTGAAACTGCAAAAATATGTACCTCGGTTATGATGTTTCAAAATCTCCACTTTTATTATAATTTTTGATTATAGACCAAATCAACATCATGGCTTGAAGTTCGTACAGAATATTCTTTATGCAGAGAGGAAAAATCACTAGTTTTCAAGAAATGATATTAAATATTTTCCATGTAGAAAAGAAAGTATGACAGGAAGTTTGCAATTCCGCAAACCAAGATTTCTGCAGTTCTTTCCAGTATCTCTGCAGTTTTACCATCCATATGCTGGAGGAGGCAGATAAGGCAGTATCTAGTGAAAGGAAATCGAATGACTTTTTTAAAAGAAATGAAGTCATGGATACTTCCAAGCTTGTGTAGAAGCATATCTTCTCCTGCCAAAAATTCCAGGCTACTATAAATATTGAGTATGCAAAAATTTAAGTTGAAAGATAAACAAAAAGAGGTCAGAAAAGTACAATTTACAGTTCAAATTTACAACTATGAGTTTTGAAATGATTGGTTTTTCTACCTCAGCCCTCTCATTATTTTCGTTCTTGTTTTTTCGTTTCATGTATAAAAAGAAGCGCCAGGAAATTATTTGAAAATTTTGATTTTGTGAAGAGGTTCAAGCATCAAATTCTGAAACAAAAGTTAGTCAACAAGTCAACAGTGCCATTGATTGCTTTAAATTATTTTCAGGAAAAAGTTAATTGAAGGTTCTCGAGGTATTCTTCAAGGAACATCTGCTCTTGTCTTATGCTTCGATGAATCAGAGGTGCGCAAAATTATCAGAGAATGTAAAAAAGTGCTAGACTATCTTGCGGTTGCTGAAGTGATTGAAACAATGGAGGATTTAGTGCAGTTTTTGAAGGATCTTAGTCCATGTCTTAGTACGGTAAGATTCTTCCCGATTCTCTAATTTTGGTAATCATTTTTTTTTGTAGTTGATTTTTTTGCCCAAAAAATTAATTGTAAAGTCTCCTACCCTCCTAGGTATATCCCTTTGTATCCCTCTCTCACATCTGTATTCAACACATTCTTCTTATTATTATCATGTAAGTCCAATCATAGTAGTCTTGATAATGAACTTGTATTAAATTAAAAGTTGGGTTAAAATCATGGCACCAAGTTTTTTTAAACAGATGTGTTGTTTCATTACATACCAAGTCAGTGCAGATCCAATTAATTCAGAAAGTGTCTGAATGAAAATAATCATCCTCTTGCATTTTTTTTTTACAAATTCAATCTAATATAGTAATTTAATGGCTATTTGCAGGTTTCAGCCAAAGTCAGTGCTCGTGAAAAAGAGCTCACGCACCAAGTTCACCGAGAAATTCTTGTTCGTTGTTTGGACCAAGTGAAGACTCTTGCTCCAATTTTAATTTGCAGTATGAAAATCTATATCCACATCCTCTCGTCAGGTAATTTCTGTGGAACAATGATTTTTATTTTTATAGTATTAATAATCGTTTTAACATTCTTTTTTTCCCACCGTAGCTATTGTGTACGCTATTAAGTTAGGTAGCATCAGAAAGATATACTCAAGCTGGCAGTATACATCGGAAGCTTAGAAGCTTCACAAAGCTGAGACAGAGAACTCGTATATAGGTATTTTTTTTTCAACAACCATATGGTTTGGTGTAGTAATGATTTAGTGAGGAAAGAGATGACTGGTAAATTGGATTTATCCATGTAACTTTCCGCAAAAAAAAAAAATTATTTTAATAATCTCTGACACAAAGGTGATCAAAAGTTATAAATTAGAGACTTGAATACTATTAAAATTTTGTACACAAGTATTTCAAAGTAATAGGCTTACCACTCTCAATGAATTATAGATCAAATTTGTAGGTAATAAGTTGCAAAATATAGACCAATAGAATAAATTATTTTCCCCTTAAGAAGTAACAGCTTAAGAGTTAGTTCTTTTTCGCAGGAACCTGCTCAAGAAAATTAAAATTGAATTGCTTCACTCAAAATAACCAGTCAATGCTTTGTATATGAGAAGTTTAACTAAGTGTGTAGATTCATTGATTTTGATTGGATATTCCTAAACGAATTTTAAACGTACGCTCTCGTGTGTATCATAGAGCGAGTAATTGAACATTGATGGACTTCTTATGACATATTTTTATTGCATATTTACAAAACTCAGCGCAAAGTTGGCAAACTCCCAACTTTCAGATCTATTTGCATTCTGCTCAGTGTAACTTTTACTTCTGTGCTCGTTAGAGGTGTATTATCAACCTGTGATTTTATCATCGATGAATATTTTTTTTTTTCATTTTGACTCTCCTTCGTTATCACCAAGTACCAAGATTTTACCCCAGTTATATTTTTCTCTCTCGAAAATATCTATGAGCATCAGTGTCTAAATCCATTACTGTGATTTGTGCGATTGTTTGATCCAGAAATCTGTGACAGGCCTTTGAAAAGAGTTACTCCAGTCTTTTACAAAGAAATGGAAGTAACAGTCTTGCTACCATATGTCCCTTTTTGCTCAGGGGTATAAATATGCTGTCTGTTCCTGGCATTACATATCCACTCTCCTTTTCTAATTTTTTAGGAGGCAAAGAAGCATCAGAGGCCGCTGAAAATCGCAATTATTTAGTTTCTCGTATGACCGATGAGCTTCATGAAATAATCCGTGTTCTTCAACTTACAACTTACGATGAAGATGAATGGGATGCTGACAATTTAACAGTCATGAAGAAAGCTCACAGTGCCATTCAGGCCAAAATGAGGTCTGCCCGTGATTGGCTTGAGGTAAATTAATTTTTCCTCCTCTCTTTCTAATATTTTCTTTGAAATAGTCTCTAGTTGTGTATCGCTTCCATCAACTTTGTAGTATATCAAGCACCCCAAGGAGAGGGTCTTGCGATTATTTTAATCGGAATTTTGACACATCAGGCACTTACCATTTGATAAAGAAGTCCTTAACATGTTGTGAACGGAAATAATTTTTGATTAGGGTGCCTCAAGGTAATGGACAAATTTTTAAATTTTGATTCTTTGGGTCAAAAGGAGACTTTTTTGTGTCGTAAATTTTCATGGTTCATGAAGCATTCTTCCTTAACACATTAGTATTGTTTATTAGGCAGTCACCTTTTGCAATCCAAATCACATTTTATGCCTGCAACGCTGGATCATGTTGAACATGATTTGGAAGGTATGTTTCTGGGATGATCTGCGAAGTTAAGTCACGATAACTTGTGAATAAATTTATTGATCATGATGGGAGATATAAGGCACTTAAGGTCAGGATCAAGAATTTGATACTGATGTCTATATCTTAAGAAGCACATGCCTTCAAGGAGGTAAATATTGCAGTATTTTTTACAAAAAAAAAAAAAAAAAAAAAAAAAAAAAAAAAAAAAAAAAAAAAAAAATGCAGCCCTACCAGCAGCTTCCAAGTGTATCTAGACATGTGTATTATACTCATAATATTTCAGAAGGGCTTATAATTACCACATATTATAATGCAGAATATTCACCATACATCAGTAAAAATAATAAATACATATTGCAACTAAAATTTTTCTTCTGTCATGTAATATTCAATAATTTTTTTATTTTTTGGGATGTGCTTTTAGGATCCATTGGCTCTGAGAGGAGGTATCGGTGAGAAATCAGTTCGTCAAATCATTGAACACTCTTATGTCGTAGCAGAAAGATCTTTAACAGGCGACAAAGAAATCATCAGAAAATATTGCTCGGAAGTCACAACAATGACAAACGCCGTTTGCGAACTCCGTGGAGATGGCAAAGGAACTTCACCTCAGGTTTGTTCACATGTCTGCAGACTATCACTTTTTTCATTTTCATCTGTTTTATCACACGCAGATAATCCAAAAATTTCATAATCTTGTCAAATTCAATTGTGAAAAAGCATTGAAGTGATTCGGTTCATTTCAGCCGAATTAAATTTACTTTATCCAGTCGGTTAGTGCTCAAGAAAGAGAGTGCATTATTTTTCAGCTTTTTTACAACCTCATATTGTACAATTATTTTACATCAATTTTTCATAATACATACCTTTCAAAGAAAAAGAAAAAGCTGCTTGCAAGCACAGCAAGAAAGTGCTTCCAAGATTACAAAAAGCATGCTTGAGCTATGTCTGCAAAAAATATTGTTAAAACTATCCGCTGGTTTCAATGTTTTATTCCAATTTTTAGCTTTTTCTAATGTTTAAGTTTCGTTTTGGACTGAATATAATGGTTTCTTTTTTTCTTTTCCTCAGGCGGAGAGCCTTTCCAGAAGTGTAGAACATAAGCTTGAGGATACAAATACAGCTGTAAACCGGGCTGTTGTGAACATGGATAAGTATGGAGGTCAACAACCTGCTCATACTGTCTCTGGTAGATTAGAACAAGCACTCCGCTGGCTGCAGCACCCTGATTCCGATGATAAAGGCCTGGGTCAAAGGGCCATTGCACTAATTGTTGATGAAGGGAAAAAGGTAGGATGAAAAGTTGCCCCTCATTTCATTAACGCCATACTATAGTAGGCTGTGTCTTCTATCTGACAATGTTTAAATAATTATTGGATCAGTTTTACTCTTTTTTCGTTTCATCTAAGAATTTTGTTTTATTATTGGAAAAAGTCAAAATTTGAGTTTAGTAATTTTAAGTTGAAATGAATGGGTTGAAAAAGTTCTCTTTTAATCTACATATATGAGGCCGATTCCAGATAAAATGTTGTAACTGAACTGTGAGCAGTTTTTTTTTCCTTCAAAATTTGAACTTATCAAAAAAATCAAAGAGGCGTAGGTTGAAATTTAAAAAAACGTGATGTTGTTCAAGGTTATAGCTCTAGAACAAGGGAAAACATGAACAAGATATTTATCTATCTCACCTTCAAATCTATTTAATTAGATTCTGAACTAGGTAGTATAAAACTCGCATACCTTGCACATAGGTAATTAATTCTGGCTTGTTCTTAAAAAATTCCCTCTGTGTAAAAGAAGGCCTTTTTGTGAATACGTATAACATTTCAGAACCTGTTATATTCCTCTTTGCCGTGTCTCTACATAAGAGGCTCTAATTTGGATTTTATGTCACTTATGCTTGACGACGCAGGACCAAAACAAGAAGGTAATTTACCAATACAATCCCTGGCACAAAAATTTTCCACAATTGAATCAGTGGTTCAAGTTTTAAACCACTCACAATTTCTGTTGTAATTTTTCAACTATGTATCTTAAATTTTGCACGGTTTTCTCAGGAAGTAGACTTTTAAATAAAAATCTGTTTCTGTTTTATGTTCAAAGCTAAGTTAGAGGGTAGTTTTTTTCTGTACTATCATCCAGTGGATTTATTAGATATTTCGGGCATCCTCTTTTAGGATCAGTATGAAAGTCCTCACAGCAAGACACAACAGAGATTTGAAAATATGAGATCGCTTAGTTCAAAATGACTTTTTCTGGCACCTCCTTCTGCACCAGTAAAGCAAAGCAACCCAAAAGACACTATGAACTTTTTCACTTTTAATATGGCTGTGAATTTAACCACAAATATGTGATCGTGAATGCACCCACAGCTGTAACTGATACACACTCCTAATACACGATTGTGCACATGATAGAATTATGATTTGCCTCCAGACTTCTTCTATTACGCACTCAGAATGTATCTTCAAACTTGTAGTGTTTGAAAATAATTCATCCAAATTGTTTAATCAAAGGATAAATTAATTCAAAGTAAATCTACCTATAGCTTTTCAATTTTTCCCCCTTTTGGGTTCATTTTTTTGTACTTGCCAGATTGAAGTTCAGTATCCTACGAGTCTCTCATCAACACGTTCACTAACAGAATATCTCAGATAGCTTGGAGGCAGCTCATCTAAAATAATATTTTCTTGCTTTTGATGCGCAATTTTTTTTCTCTTCAAATATTTTGAAATCTGGTTACTAAATTGTTTGCCTCCAGAGTCTCCGGCTGTTTGGAAAACCTGGAAAGTCAGAAAATTCATAGCAATCTTGATAAGTTGGGGAATTTGTAAGCAGTATCTTTCAGAAGTCAGTGTAATTTAAAGGAAAAAATCTAAGTGGAGGTTTTTGTTCGAAGGTCAGGGAAAGTTAGCTAATTTAAAAATTTTGGCCTGAGGGAAAAGTGGAAGAAGTCAGGGAATCGGAAAATGAATACATTATGGAAACCCTGCTCTCTCATTTCTAAAATCTTCTAATCATTGATTTTGGTTTTTAGGTTGCTGAAGGTTTACCTGGAGTTCAAAGGGCTGAAATTTTAGCTCTTTGTGATGATGTTGATCGTTTGTCCCATCAACTAGCTGATTTATGTCGTCGTGGTCTTGGGGGCAGTCCTCAAGCTCAAGAAGTAGCCAAGTAAGTTTAAAGGTCATTTTGAATCAATTTCTATCAGGATTGTCTAACCTAAATCTATTTTATCGATTTTTCCTATAAAATTAGTGATGACCGTGATGCCAAATTGCCTGCTGCATGTATTTTCCTCTTTTTTTAAGTGGGAATGTTGACCTGGTGGAACAAGAATTTCCACAGCCATGACCTCTGCCGATTATAGTGTTTTGGGCTTATCAAGTACATATCCTGTATGCTACTTAAGTTTGTTATCGGGGCTTCCCAAGGGGCAGGAGAGGGGTCAAGTCTAGTTTTACGCAAGCCTCATAAAAAAAAAATTAAAATATAATATTTTCTCATGAGAAGAACTTTGCAGGCCAGTCTCGTTAATTCCAAGGGAGGGGTGGGAGGTAAGTGGTTTTTTTACAGGTATCTTGCAAGAAGAGAGAAAGAAAGGAAGGAGGTCAAAAAGTCGGCAAAAATGCCTCATTAATTTTTTTATATTACACTTGAACGGCTTCTTTCATGTGTTTTTGTGTACTGCTGAATACCGTCATGGTGGGAGAAAAAATAAATCCTAGGTGTGGAACATGTTGAAAGTCTCTTTGTAACTAAGGATGCAGTTGGAAGAAGGGCTTATATTCAAGGCATAGCTTTTAAGGATTAAGTGCTGTTGAAGTTTGAAATGGTGTCCCGGCTGAGGACCAAGTAACACATATTAGTCGGATACTAATTACACAATGCAGATTTGCCTCCTTTCCTTTCAGCTTGATATTGTGTTTAAATCTTTCCTTTTTTTTTTTTTCCCCCAAGATTATTAGTAGATTCTATTGATCCTCTCTATTCTCATCCTTTATTAATAACTAATCTGTTTTTGCAGGCAACTTTCACAGAAACTCCATGAACTGAAGGATCGTATTCAAAACGCTGTTGTCAATCGAGTTGTTGAAGATTTTGTAGACACTCAAACACCCTTAAAATTATTCACAGAAGCTGTTTATGCACCGATAGGTAAGTCACAGTCACTATTCTGACTTGAAATTTTACCTGATGAAATGAGGAGGTGATTTTAAATGGTTTTGAATTCCAATTCTTCAATAGACGATGTAACTGTTGAGTGCACCGATGCACCAAGTTCAAAACAGCACCAGAACTTTCATTGCTCCTCAGAAAGTGGTTTGAAGAATATCTTCTTACAAAAGTGAATCCTAGTCGTGCACAACTGACCACTTTTCTGAAATTTTAGCGCTGTACTGTCACCTTATTACAGGGGTGTAGAAAGTTTCTAGCTTTCCCCAATTTATAATTTGCCTTCTCCAAAATTTGATATATTGTCACAATTGCGCCTGTATGTTAAAACAAGGAGCTCAACAGTTTCGTTCCCCAAAATCGATCAAGATGGGTCAAATAAAATAAGACCCTCTCCAATTTTCACAGCCTCCCCCAATTCTCACCCAAGAAGCCACAAAATTATGATCGTATAACCGAGAAAATTCTTCACCCCTGCTTTATTATTGTTTATTTTACCTCAGGTCTTTTCCACAAGATTTTGGGACTTCAAGGTGCCGATATTACCAAGTATAGTGTATTCACCTCAGATTTTGAAGTTAGTCTCTTGAACACTGAAGTCCAAAATTTTTAGAATAAATTTATGTCACAACCGGTAATGATTTGTTCTTAAAGCACCAATATCAAATTCAAACTAATCGGGCTCACCAAATTTTAACCTTCCCTCAAAAAGTACCATCACAAGTTTATTTATTCTTTGTTTGTTATTAGGAATGCCTGGAAGAGAGGCCAATTTCACAGACCGTGCTAATCAGCTATCTGACTGGTCAAAACGGGCTGCCAAGACCGGTCGCATGGTCGCAGCTGGTGGAAGTGGTGGAAACAAAAAGCTGGCTGAAGCTCTAGTCAACTCTGCAGGCCAGGTAGAATCCCTAACTCCGCAACTAGTCAATGCTGGGCGAATTCGGCTCAACTACCCAGAAAGCAAAGCAGCTGACGAACATTTCAACAACCTGCGGAATCAGTACGCCGACCAGGTAGCTAAACTTCATGCGTTGTGTGACGAAGCAACTGATTCAGCCCATTTCATAAAAATTTCAGGTGAGTTTTTCTGAATTTTTTTGATCTAATAATTAATTTATTGATTATATACAGGAGGGGATAGGGGTGGACAGATCCCTGCCTGAAAACCTATGTTTAAGTTTATGTTATATAAGATCCTATCGCTACATTATTTATTGCGTTTCCTCCTGTAGAGTCTTTCTGAATTGTATCCATAAGCTGTCTTAACGACACCAGGAGATACTTGTCCTCTCCTCAAATTGTTGGACTGAATTAATTCTTTCTATTTCATTTTCATTTTTCTATTCTTACTTTCTGATCGAAAGTTTTATATCTCCATGTTTGCCCTATTTGTGTCTTGTATAGTTTCACTTTTACATCAGCAAAATAAACTTACCCAACCAATTGTGACTGGTCGGGTCGAGTAATCAAGAAGCTTTTGTACCCTGAAGTATGACATGGCTCAAGAAACCTAAAGATTATGATAACTTAGCATAAGAGAACTTTTTTCGGCCGTAGGTATTTATCAATTTTTTTAAATTTTGTTTTCAGAGGAGCAAATGAGAAAACACACAGTCCTGTGCGAAGATGCAATTAACAAGAAAGATCCTAATAAAATGGTGGAACATACCTCCGCAATTGCAAGACTAGCAAACCGAGTTTTGCAAGTGGCCAAGCAAGAAGCGGATAACTCTGAGGATCCTGCATTCATAGCTGCCGTCAACAGAGCAGCAGATGGAATTCAAGCTGGTAAGTCTTACATGTTTTCTTCGTTAATCAACAAGATCCTCAAATCTCCCAAAGAATTTCTGAAAAGTTTCCGTCGCCTTGTATAAATACTGCTAATACTAACACGAATGGATCTTGAAAACTGCGTTGCGTTCATGAAGTTGAAATGAAACGAAAATTGGACCTTGAACGTTTTCCTACGAGTATCAATAATAGAATTTGGACCTTGAACGTTTTCCTACGAGTATCATTAATAGAATACAGTGCTTTTTTTGCTGTTTTATTTGATCTTAATAGAATCTGTTTGTATTTTAGCTGTAACTCCAATGGTGCAGAACGCGAAATTAGTTGCAATGAATATTAATGACCCAGCAGCTGCCTCAAGGTGGCGCGAAGCCAACAACAATGTAAGTATTTTTTCTGGTCGTCCTCAGTCTAACCTAAGACCATTTACTTGTCTTTTTGAGTTTCTTGATGTACTATGAAACCAGTAGATCCAAGGTTTTAGTCATACCAAGTGCTGCCTGAAGCAGGTTTAAAGAAACAAAGTGAGAGTGAAACTGCAGGAATGCGTATCTTGTTTGCGGTGTTTCAAAATCTCTCCTCCCATTTTCTATCCAAAAGTACCCTTGATTTGTGTTCAGTAAACAGAAGAACTGAACAGAATGGGATGAGTTTAATTTAACAACGCACCTCACTCTCTATGTTATAAAGTGGATTTTGTATATTAGAATAATATTTATCAACTTTGTCTAATAATTTTTCTCTGATTGTAATCTGTCAATTTTTACCCGCAGTTATTGCGAGCTGTCGGTGAGGCAAGAAAAGCAGTTGAGGTTACTCCAGACATCAATAGTTTACATCTAAACGGTAATTTTGATCAGCTCCTAACCTACTCTCCTGCTTTTTGGTTTATTTTTATTCTATTAACTGTTTAAGTAACTTACAATCCGAATTATTTTGTCTGTTTTTATAAGATTTCAATTTTCTAATAGGCTCCAGAGGTGATTTATTTTAACGACTTTCAGTTTTCTTTACTTTTACCTTGAAGAGGCTTTTGCTCCAAATTTTATTCAGCACAAGAAAACTCCAAAACTTCAGCAAAGAAGTTTCAAAAAATTAATGAGAGTTTTAGTGGTACTTGATCATTCGGTTGCAAGGCTTCTACCAGTTTCTACTATTCATAGTTTTTCATAATTACAAGTAATAATTAATCTGAATTCAGAGCTTTGATTTTTATTTTTTATTTAATTTTTTTGCAACTTTAAAGTTTCTCTTTACTATTGCTTGGTAACACAAGGGTTTTTCCAAAGTAAGACGTCCACTTTTTCACTATACAGTAGAAACTGTTTACATCAGGACACATCCTAACCATCAAAATTCTGCAATGTAAGCAGTTATGGTAAAATTGATTTTCATTGAATTCACGAAAATGAATTTTAGGTGAAAATCCCATTTACCTAAGTTGGGGACCAAAAATGATTCCCAATGTAAGTAATATCAATAGCTAGTATTTTGAGTAAATGTTTTTAATGTGCGCAGAAATTTTTCGTATTGTTCTTATGGACAGAAGAACATGACTATGCAAAAATAATAATATTGTGAGCGATTTTTGACACAGGCAAATGAAGATGTAAACAGTTTCCTCTGCATCCGTAGAACCACTGCTTAACATTTATACTGAAAAATGCATCGTGTTTGTATAATCTCTCGGCAAATTTTAGATTTCTAATTTTGGCTCTCTGAATTGGCATTTAAGTAAATGCTTTAGGAACATCTCTTGTGGCCTTATAATATTTTTAACGCTAATTTGATGCATATCTATCGTTAATCTTTATTATCGCACTGAATTTCTTTCTCATAATTTTTTCTCTCTCCTATTTTCTCTTAGCGACTAACCTCTTAACATGCATCAATCTGATTTTAGATGAAGCTGATTTACTTAACAACGCTCCAATAATCCCAGAACGTCCATACTATCAAGGTAATTTGGGTTTCCCAGTAATTATTATCCAAAGATAATTTCCTCTCTGCCACAAATTTATAAAGAATCTTGAAGGCCTTTTTTGGTTGATCTAGTTTCAGTTACTTATTTTCTCTGAATCTGTTCAAAAAAATTCAAATTTTATCAAAATTGATAACATTTTTGCATTATATCTTCGATCAACCAAACGCTTCACAAGGCTAAAATTAAGGAGTACCATTTGGTGAAGCATTGGCAAATTTATTCATAAATTCTGTAAGTTGCGATATTTACGAATTTTTCACATAAAGTTTGCCAAATAAGGAGGGAGAAAGCTGAGATTGGGAGAGGTTGAACAGGAAACAATCTTTCTGCACCACTGGTTAAACCAGAAATAACTTCTAAATGGCCTCATAATTTGGTTCCATGTTGCTTTGTAATTGATAGCACCATGATTGATGGACTTTGTCCAGTGGAATTATTTGTTCGAATGGAAAACATCAAAATTTGCCATTTCCCTCGAAATAAAGATAAAAATTAATTTTTTTCCTTCTCGGACATAACATGAGAAGTTTGAATTCAATGACATTTTGAGTATTGATTTAACATTCAAGCATTATAAAATTATTGTTGGTATTTAACTCACTAACATAATCTATAAGTAAAATCAGCACTGAGTAAGAGAAGTTGCACAGTAGGTATCTTTGATAGAAAATTTTCATTGGATACTGTCAACCTCTTTCAGAAAACACCATTCTTAGTATTTACTTTATTTCACTGTTGATTTAATTTGAGTTTAATTAAATTCAACAGTTCAGGTGCAGCAACGGTCTGTTAAAATTATTTGTGAATCAGGCAAGTAAGATTTATAGTGAGTGTCTCAAGAGCATGGTTTGGTTATCTGTGAAACATCTTGTAGTAAAGGTTTCTCTCCTGTACATTTTAGGGGAAAATGATCAATTTGTATACAGCAGAATAGATCTGTTCCTCTCAGATGATTTATGTGGAAAGCTTTTTCACAGAGAATCTAGTATTTTATTCACCAAATTTTACTAACAAAGTGATCAAATGAAGAACAAATTTTAGTCTCCAGAATAATTTTGACTTTGAAAAATAGTTTAACCATTTTTATTATGTATATACGTATTTTTTAAATTAATTATGCATTGTACAAAGTTTGATTCCCTGATCTGTTTACTTAATGATAAATGAGTGTGTTACTTTCTTATCATTAGGTACCTAGACTCTTTGCACCTATCTCTGTAAAATTCACTGATTTTCGAAAACCTACTACTAAGGGACGACTAGCTGGAATTTGACTGTAGCTTGGAATGGCTCAAAAAGTTCTGAGCTCCGTAGCAATGAATTGTCTTCAGGTGCTTTGTAGATTTGCCTGATCAAATTTTGGAAATGTTGTAGTATGTTTTGTATTATTTTGGTGAGACTTCATGTGAGCAGTATTTTACGATCGGCTTGATTTTTGAAATGGGGTCATTTCTCAAGCAACTTTTGCTGCTCAAGTTATCTTCTTGTATGAGGTAACAATGCACCTAATGTTGTCAACCTCTTAAGTGTTTCCTATGATGAACATGCTGTAGCAAAAACTCAAGTTTTTTAGTGGTTTTCTTCCGTGGTCAGTCCGGTTCTAGATGACCGCCAACGGCTAAAACGGATGGAAACATGGAAACCATTTGCCCTCTCGTGATTGAAGATTGTCCAGGAATATTCGATGGCAAAATCGACTGAGTTGTTATTGAGAAATATTCAAAACATTGCTGGGGATAAAATGAATTGCTACCAAATTGGCTCCTTTTTTGCCAATCATTTACCATTCTAGCTGTTGACGTCAACTTGAAGCCTGGCGGACAGTGAGGTTATAGATTACACCCTTGAAATAAGAAAATCATTCGAGCGTTTGAGTTTTCAATGAAGCATGTTCTCTACAAGAAGTAATTATAGGGTCGGCAGCGTAAGCTATGTGTCGCTTGCGAAAATAACCCATCTTTAAAAGTGAGACACAATTGCCCGATTCCCTACACAAAGTTTTGGCGAAACAAAACAAAACCTGCTTGACATTGAGACTATCTCGTTGTTACACTTTCTGCTATTGGAGTTCGGAACTTTGAACTATTGCCAAGTTCTTGCAAGATACCCCCTTTTTGGGTAACCTCTTGTACATTTTTGCATATCCAACTAGCCAGCCCCTGATACTTATGTGCTGAAGCTCTCACGCAAACATCCACATAAACTGTAAATTTGGTAAACAGACATTTAATTACCTTGACTTCTACGCATACATGGACGTAACTGTAAATTTGGTAAATGCAGACAAATAATTGCACCTTTATTTAGTCTTGCCTGCTGTAGTCTTCAATCTAACTAACATAGTATGATTTTTGCATTGAATTTGCAGATGTCTCTCACTTACCACTGCGGTCACCTAATGTTTTTGCTCCTAACGTGTACATAGAAAAAGGTATACCTCAGTTTTTTCTCCAGTTAATCTTAATTTTCATCTTAAGGAATGTCTTAATTTTGCTAACCAGCAAATTCTTCTCCTTTTTTGAAGTCTCACCATTTATAATTTTCAGACCTATTATCATTATCCATCTCATATAACAGTGAGAGGTTCTTTGTCAATAAATTTAGAGCTGTCTTCAAAGAATAGCAATTTTTCACTGAGTCTTCTTGTTGAATATAACATGCAATGAGGCCTCGATTTATCAGATTTCACAAGACCGGAGGCCGAATCCGTTATATCGCAGAATCCATTAAATTGCGCAAGTGGGTCCCGCTGAAGGAACCGGAGGATTAGACCGAGAGCTCATGACGATTCGTTCAACCGGAATAATATAAATGAGGTCTTACCGTATAATAGACTTAGTAGCAACTTGATCAAGTAATCAAGAACGTAAAGGTAGTACAGCGAGTCCAGCTATTTATGATTCATGAACTTTTGCATAGTTTACTCGACGGTGGAACTTAGGATGTTTAAAAGCTATAATAAAAAAGTATTAGCTTATCATCCTCTCAGCAAGATGTCTTCAGGAATCAACATCCAAAAAGTCCTTTTGAATAGGATGGTTTTTCTCAAAATCTGAAATAATCTGAAAAATGGAAAGAGAGAGTAAGAGATGGGGAAGTCTGGTCTATAATCTAGTAGATTCAAACCCTTGACTTAAAGAATGTTTAAAATCTTAACGTATGTAGTTTCGTTTGAGGTTGGTTTATCAAGTCCATGTTCAGCCTCAAAGAAGCTTAGTTCAGGGTGGCAAAATTTCATGAAAAATAACATCTTGAAATTTCCCGTGAAACATTTTGTGAAATTTCAGGAATTTATGAAAGATAATGAAAAATACTGGTTCCTTTTCATGTTTCACAAAATGTAAAAATTGTGACTTTCTTTTATTTTTGTGTGTTTGAGTGCGGGTTGCATACTCTAGCCCCTGAAAAATATGAAATATTTTACAGTCTCGTGAAATATTTCACCGAAATTTCCAATCTTTCATTTCTTTCTTACGTTTCATGCGTTTCTGAGCTTAGTACCCTCTAAAATTTTCTGGGAAAACAATTTTAAATGGACTGAAACATTCTATGGGAAGCACAATTCTTAAAAACTTTAGATCCTAATTGAATCAATTTTAAAAAGTGTATACCTAAGAGTGATCGTTCAGCAAAGTCTGTGGAGCAGAGTTGAGATGAGGCCAAAAAAATCCTACCGTTTGATCAAGTACATTTTAATTTTGCCTTTGGAGTGCTTACCTAATTTTGAGTTTTATTTTAAATACATTTCAAGGCTTAGTACCTCATCTACAGTGGTATAAAATACACGGTTTTTACCACGGAAGGCAAGGTACTAACAATAAGCCTTAAAATGCATTTGGAATGAAATTCTATATTAGATCAGTACTCCAAAGGCAAAATTAGAATGTACTTTATCAAGTATCAAAGAGAACAAAATGCTGTTTGAAATGTATCCTAATGTTTCATCAAAATATCTTCACACATTAAATCTAGTGCGAGAACTTATCAAAGCAAACATAAAAAATCTCTTAAAATAATCATTCAAACGTTTGAATATTCCAAAAATTTACTCTTTCTCACTTCCGTCTATTTTCTACAGAAGTAGCACCTCCGCGGCCACCTCTACCTGGAGGAGAAGTTCCTCCACCTCGCCCACCCCCTCCAGCAGAAACTGATGATGAAGATGACATGTTTATGCATGCACCGCAACCAAACCAGCCTATTATGGTAAGCAATTACTTATTTCAGCTTGGTTAAGATAACATTCATAAGCTAAGATTTCTGTATGAAAATGATTTGCATCTCTTCCAACTTTACATGAATTTAATAAACAACATTTTCCTGTTAAAATTTCATAACATTTTTGGCAGAATTTTAGTATGTAGTAGATTCCTTTTTCCATCATTGGGTGGTCTCAAACCTCTATTTTAGGAAGTTCTACTACAGATAAATTGACCAGTCTCCAAAAATTCACATTTTTCTTACTCTAAAATTAATGAAGGTTTATTTTTTAAATTCAGCATTTAACTCACTCTCTTCGCTTTTTCATTCCTCTATCTCTAATTTTTATATTAGCAGAAAGAAGATCCAAAATCTTTGCATTTTATCATAGCTGAAGGAAATTACAATTTTTTGTCGAAAATTATTAAGAAAATTAGGAAATAACACTATCACTAACTATTATTTCAATCATCAGGTTGCTGCACACGGTTTGCACCAAGAAGTACGTCAATGGTCAAGCAAAGACAATGACATAATTGCCGCTGCCAAAAAGATGGCTTTGTTGATGGGACGTTTATCGCAGTTAGTACGAGGTGAAGGAGGAACCAAGAGAGACCTTATTGCTTGCGCCAAAGCCATTGCAGAAGCATCTGAAGAAGTCACCAGGCTTGCCAAAGAGCTCGCCCGCGAGTGCACTGACAAGAGAATGAGAACGGTGAGTGTACCAAACTTGTTTCCTTTACTAATGATCCTGGAAATGAGACAAAGATCAAATAGGTATAGGAAGTGCAATGCGCCAGAATGTTTCTTGGGATCTGGATTTTTTCCTCATTTGCTTTTACAAAATTTCCTCATATTCTCAAATTTTTAAAGCGATTACCTTTTTTTGTTATTCTTTGCGTTTCACCTTTGAAAATTTTCTCATATACATGTAATGAGATTCCTGAGTGGGATCCATCGGCAGGAATGCTGAGAATGTCTCTTGAAGCCGGAAAGATCAATAAATTGTTGGGATCTCTTCCGAAGATTTTTCCGGTGTCATTCTGGCCAAAAATTTCCTCATTGATCACACGATCTGCAGACTGCATGATTGAACAGATTTCGAACCCCAGAGATCAAATGAAAGACTGCTGATGACATTTCATACCCATCATGTTCAGGAGTTATATCGTTAGCTAAGGTCAGAAATTGTGTTTCCCAGATTCCAAAGTAAATCTTCACTCAAGTTTTATTCTTTTTAAAAAATTTTTTTTTATTGATTTGAATTTTTGTCTTTCAGAGCTTGTTGCAAGTTTGCGAACGTATTCCTACAATTGGAACCCAACTGAAAATCCTGTCAACAGTCAAAGCTACCATGTTAGGAGCCCAAGGTAATTCTTATTCCAATAAACACCCATACTCTAATTATGTACTAATACTGGGATTCATTTCATCATAATCTTGCTCTTCTCTTAGCTTTTTGCTCAAGTACTAAGTACAACTAAAATAATGTGGTGTTTCACACTTAAACCTGTCAACATAACCAGGTTTTAAATTAGGGCAAATTTTTTTCTGTGGAAGAGCAGAGTTTTCCTTTTTGTGAGGCAAAGGAGAAGCACTGCAATGCCATCTAATCTTAGCTAAATTATTTCGCTGTCTACTTTGAAACTTTGGAAAAAGAAGTTTGCATTCTCTATTTCTCTCCCTCTCTTGCTCCGTACTTTCTAAGACTCTATATATAGTGAACATTTTATCCTTAATTTTTGTTGGTCCAATGAACAATTTTATAAAAGCAAATTTTCTGTTAACTTTTAGTTTCATATGAAAAATTTTCCGTTTTAGTTTGATGGCATTCTTTGCCGGACTTTTTGGGTTGTGTGGGTTTGCAAAAGGTTCTAACAGAATCCTCGGTTCAAGTTTGGTTTTATCTTAAAATGGGCCTGTTGCATGCAAGAGATACAGCCGTGCGAATAGACTTTTTAGCGATTAAATGACACGAAAATTACGATGGTCACATTAAAAAAGTCTGAAATACACTCCTTACTGCGCATTTTGCGTTGTTAGGAACGCGCTTTTACAAATTTCCCGCGTCTGGGGGCAGTTTTCTAACGGAAACAATTAACGGCAACTCGCGGCTATTTCCGGTCAACTATAACCTAAAAATCGGAGCTCGTGATATCAAGGAAATGAAATGTAGCATGATTGCGTTCCATATTTAAAAGTTGATCGATTTGGTTACCGCGTAAGCGTAGGTATATGGACCACTATTATAAGAGATTACGTTTGGTTTTTAAACAAACTGAAGGAAAAAATAACAACAACAACAACGACTCGGCATCTTCCGGAAATCACCGAGCCCGCCGTTTGCTCGTTTCCAGTGATTAGAAAACTGCCCCCAGACGCGGGAAATTTGAAAAAGCGCGTTCCTAACAACGCAAATTGCCCAGTAAGGAGTGTATTTCAGACTTTTTCAATGTGACCATCGTAATTTTCGTGTCATTAAACCTCTAAAAAGTCTATTCGCGCGGCTGTATCTCTTGCATGCAACAGGCCCATTCCGATTCAAAAATTCCAGTAGTTTTGTGAGTTTTGTGATTTCTAGCGGTTGCTTGCCGTTTCAGAGCTTTTTGGCAAAATCATGTGATATTGCAAGTGCTCTCTTGTGATTTTAATCCTCAAGAGCATGCTCTCTTGTGATTTTAATCTTCAAGAGCGTTTGCAATGTTTTGGGAAAGTTTACAGAATTAATTCAGAAACTGTCTACTGGTCTGCAAATGTTAAAAGTTTTTTGCAAGATTTCTTAAGTTCATAAGTGCGTGTAATCGCCATTTCTGTGCTCTCGAACTACCTCTTGTCCTATGATTGTTTTTCATGGACACTCTGGGGTACCCGGCCGCAAATATTCACTAACAAGTAGAACTTACTTAAGTTCAATTTACATGCATACTTACTAATGGAACAGAATAAAGCAATGCAGAGCAAAATAGGATGCCTGGAAATTTTGCTTTTTCCCTGGCACTCGCTGTTGTCTGTCTGTGTCTGATAGCGGTTATTTTCCATTTTTTCTTGGTTTTGAAGATGCGCATTTTGTTTTTCTATGCAGAAAATTCACTAAAAATCTTTGGGGCGGTAGTGCCTTTGAATTTTCAATATTTTTCTCTGGTCTTTCAATGTTGCTCTTCAATTAATATCATTAATATTTGTATGATTGAAAGACCGTTATGATTACCTGACCAACTTAATGAGTAATCTGTATCATCTGATTTTGTTTAAACTCTAAGTTGGTGGCTTTCATTGATAAAAGATTCGTTCGAAGCTTGGGTTTGGGTCTGGAACCTTTTCAAATATTTATTTCTGATTTGGTTTGATCCCAAAATTCAAGCTTCTTGCCGTCCCTCTGATTTTTTCTTTTGATTTTCATGTACATCAAATCAGGTAGAAACCAGAGGTGTAAGGAAATTGTACATGGATAATGCTCTTGCAGTCGATGTGTTGAATAATTTCAGAATCAAAGAGAAAAAAAAGGGGGCATATTGGCATCTTAAGGATTGTTTACCCTGTGATGTAGGTCGGTACAACTTGGCCCGCAAAATCTGGAATTCGAAGTATGGAAAGCAGACTATAACGTCTGGTTTTTATTTCTTAAATCAACTCATTATATAATTTCAAACCCTTTATATAGAATGACTTTTTTCCACAAGTTACACCATTTCCAAGAAAATCGATGATGAAAGTTGTCCGCACTGACCTAAGTCATCAAATAAGTCCAAAATGACCGAAATGCAAACACCTCCTTTTTTTTCTCTGTGTATCGGAATATTAATTTTTGAAGTGAACACTTAATGATCTCTTTAACTTGATGCCATTGTCTGAAAACATTTGGTGGTTGTGTACATTCAGTATACTTTTTCTGCTTCAGTCTCAGGGTTTTAATTTTCTTGGGTAGCTTTTGGTATTTTCTTCTCTCCTGCTGTATTATAAATAACAACCAAAAAGTATTGTCAAGTTTGATTCTGCTATTTTGCACAACAGTGTAGGATAACTCTTAAAATTTTGAATTGCGTTTGAGTAACCTTGTCAAGTTCTAAATATCCAATACATTCAGTTGCTCAAATGCCATTCAGATTTTCTCTACCCCTCGATCTTCTATGCTGCCGTGCTTGGGAAGAATGCCGTTTGAACATTTTAATGTCGCCAAATTTTCTCTGATAAAATATTTATTTTTGAGGAAAGTCATGCATATTTTTTCTTGAAATTTTTAGACTTCTCATATTAAAGTGCAAAACCAATTGTCTCATAAATTGGAAGACAAATATTCTCAATTTTCCTCGTAAAGTTGATTTTTTTAAAAGAAAATATGGCATCGTCTGAAGGCTCATACGGCGCTTTTCCTTAGCACACCCATATGCTGTAATGATCTAATCAGGGGTCTGAGAACCTTCTCTGTGTGAATACTCTTGCTATATTGTGCTGTAATAATGGCTTGCCTGTGTATTTCTCTAACAGAGATTTTGCCGCGGATGGAAATGGCTGAGTTACAAGGCGGTAATAAATAAAAAACATTTCCAGTTATATGAATGAGACTTATGCATGCAGGTTTTCCCCCCTCAAATTTCATTAATTATTTTCAACTTCTGTAGACGTCTGCAGATAACCCTTACCGACTGATAACCAAGTTTTGCTTCCTGCAGGATAAATTTACCTGTACCCTTCACCATGAAAAATTTCTGTGGAACATTCGCAAAGTAATTTTCTGAAGCAAAATATTGGAAAATCGGTGCAGGTCATCTGTGAACGCATACGGAATGTATTTCTGTGGTATTTTGATACGATCATCTTTTTTCATTTAATTTATTACTGTTTTCCTCAGTTGTCTAATGCTGAGTTCATGTAAATTGAGGGAAAGAATTTTGTCATTGTTTTCAAGCATTTTAGCCTGTACGTAAATTGTATCATTGTTGTTTTGTCCTCCATCGAGGAATTGGTTGTTGATGGAGTTGTCTTTGGCTTTTGGTGTCCCTGGCAAGAAATGGCTCCTAAGTTGTCATTTCTCACCAGATCCTCAGCATGTTAAAATTTGACAACCCCACTAAAAACCGTTTTCTCGGTGCACCCTCAAAAATTCAGTTTTTCCTGGCTGCCCAATCTTTACATGAAGAGAAGATCGCTGCAGTCATGATATGACTGTGCCTGTGCTAGCATGATGCGTCTGCAGAGCTTTTGACTCTCTTTTGCCTGCCTTCATGTAATCCCTTGATGTGCCAAGCTTTTCATGCCTAATTCATCCTTTTCTTCAGTTAGAAATGTGTGAATTAAAATTTCACATAAAACACGATTCATGCCTAAAAAATTACTGAAATCAACTCGTTATCAAGATATTTAATGTTTTTGATGCCTAAATTCAAATTGCACACTAAACGTTTCCGTAACAGTCTCTGCAGTATAAAAATGGAGCAACTTCAGTCTCGCTGCCTTGGCTCAGTTGTTACACATTGTTAACACTTTGAACAACACAAGGCAGGAAAGGAACATTGCTAAATAAAGAAGCCTGCCAAGACTGTCTTAATGCGTGTCTTAATTCAAGTAGACTAGTGTTTTTCTTGTGAGCAGGGAATTCAAAATTTCTGTAACCAATCCTAGATAGAAACGTCACCATCTGGGAGTTAATATCAGTTATTTTAATTTGAATCGTGTTTTTCATGAAATTTTGAAGAAGATACGGGTATCAGATTGCTCAAATTTTAACCTTCTTGAGTGCTCCATTTTAGGTCCTTGTGGTTAGGACGGTGCAGGGGTTTGTAATCCGAGGTTCGTGTCTACTTAGATGCTGCTGTATGCCAAGCATGCCTTATCTCGTGTCTTTTGCAGCTGCGTTAAGCCGCTAGAGATAGAGATTGCAGTTGTCATTAATGCTTTTTTATCCCTGCTTTTACATAAAATAAAATTCACTTAAAGTCCTGCTTCAATGAAAAATGTCTGATACATTCAGATAAAATTCTTGAACTCTCAATATTCTCTCTCAATTATTCAAAAACTATTATGAGGATTTTATCACAGCTGGAAGCACCTAAGAAATGACGTTAATGCTCCGAGCTTATATAATGACCTGAATGATTTTTTATCCAACACTTATTTCGGCTTGCATGATTTCCTCAGCTTCATAGTAAATCACTGTTGATGTTTAGGGATATTCAAACGTAAGAGAGCACAGTAAGAAAAATCGTTCATAACTGAACAGTTTTTTCACTAAGGTCGGCTTCTTGTTTCATTTCAAAATCTTTCATGAATCTCCATTGTTTATTCTTTTAATTATATTATCTATTTATTTTTTTTTTGGAAAGCTTTTACCTCCTCTTGTAGTATACATCATCGTCTCATTTATTTTTTTTTATTTTGCTGTACATGTTTTTTGTCTCTTTTTGCATTAATACGTAAATGAATGCAGTGAGCAAAGTCTTTACAAAGAGAGAGTATCCGTAGACTCTCGTAAATTTTTTGATTTGTTTCAACTGAAATCGCTGTCTCCTCTTTATCACCTACTGTCAGTACTGATGCTCTTGACCTTATGGCGAAAGGAAAAATGCTTTTTTGGCATCAAGCTTGAAGTCTAATCATGTTTTGAGCCTGCGGGTATGCTCTTGTCAGACTGGGAGTCACACCTTTCACCTACAATCAATCATTTCACAAGGTTGCGTCTCTCTGTTACTGCCAGAGAATTATGAAAAGATGAGAGGAAGAAGGAAATTAGCTGAGCTTTGAGCTTCCTAAGAATGTTTGTTGCACAAGATGGTGGCTATAATATTCAGCTTTATTTTCCTGTTCTCTCTTTGGTGAGACCATGATTTTTGACAAAACAATTCAATTGGTTCGAAGGCTTTTGTACTTGGTAATTAGTATTCTCTTGAATGTATAGAACTTTTTGCCTCTTTTGATCCTGAGGTAGTTGATAAAGTGAAGAAGAAGTGGAATTTAAAAACGGTCGGTTCCAGTAAAGTTGTGAGAATTTCACAACCGAAACTGGATGTGTTCACTAGACCACAAGAGAGTACTTGAAGCAAATCTTCATGTTCTCTAAGATTTATGAGGGACATTGTTGATGGTGCTTGAGAACTTTTGATGTAAACTCTTGAATGATCTTATCCCTTGTTTCCTGCTCTTGTGTTCGTATTGAATAATTTAGTGTACTATTCTTTTTTTGTGTGTTTTAAAATGGCAGGTCTGATGATTGGTGCCAGTAAGTCATTGTTCTTGACAAATATCTGTGTATGTCTTGCGCACATTAGATTATTTTGCACAGAGCTTGTATTTTTTATACTTATTTTACTCCTTTTCAAACTTTTTTCTAAGCATAATACCAATTTTTACAAGTATTCTTGAATAAGATAAAGTTTTTTGAAGTGTACCTTTGACCCAATTTTTCATGTAGAACAGCTCATTTGTAGTGAATAAAATTTTTTCAGCCGAAAATTCACTGAAAAAAAGCTCTCAATTTTCAGTTCAAAATTTTCTCATTTTATAGATTCTTTCTCTTTAATTTTTTACAGTGACGTGCCGATCTTTTTTCCTGAGTTTCTAAAGAATGTTTCCCCAATTTTTTTTCCCTGCATTTTTCTGAAACTGTTTTTAATACCTGTGAAATTCATTTTGCCACAAAAAGTCTTATTCATCGGTGTAGCAGGAGAATGCATCAATGAAACATTTTTTGTGAAAACTATTAGCTTTTCTTTTTTTTATTTAAATATTTTCTACGCAAATCAAATATTGGCAAAGATAATTAGTTATTATCTTAAGTTGATTTCACTGTAGCATAAACGTGTAATTTTTTTCCCCCCTCTCTATTTTAAACTAACTCACTACAAACACAGGCGAAATTATCAGGTTATAATATCTACTCTCTGACTCTGAACACTTATTCCTTGTTCAGGAGTTTATTTTTAGACTTCCTGTTGTATAATTCATTTTTCTCTTGAAATTTTGAAGAGGAAATTTTCTTTCTAATCCTTTAATTCATACTTTGTCTAGAGACTGTGGACCAAACCAGCTTAAAATCCTACTCTAATCCTAAAATCAAATCCATTCATAAAACAAGCCAGCTCCCTCTCAAATCTTTCCATATCAATAGATTTTAGCATTAATGCGCGCAAAAGATGCAAAGTATTCCTAGTGCTGTACATGTTAATGATGTGAAACAAAATGTTTTCCAGGCACTGAAGAAGATCAAGAAGCCACAGATATGTTGGTTGGTAACGCTCAGAACCTCATGCAATCTGTCAAAGAAACTGTAAGAGCAGCTGAAGCTGCCAGCATCAAGATCCGCACTGACGCCGGTATCAGGCTGAGATGGGTCCGCCGCCAACCTTGGTACAATTATTAGATTCTTTTTATGAAATTTATTGATCTGTAAATTAGTTTTAATCCGTGACTAAAACTGGACTAAAACCGAGGGTCTGACTTTGCGTTGTCGGGCTGGCCTGGATTTTCTTAATTTAGTAAGTTTGACATTTCATCAGTAGCCATATTAAGACACGTAAATAATCTTTAGTATTGTAGGACCAGGATTGATTAAAAAAGGCCAAGATTCTATTGTAAAAATTAAAGGATTTATTTGCACTTCTGCTTTTTAAACCATGAGGTCCATTATGATAGTCAGTTTAGAATACAAGAGTGTAGGAATCGCAGTCAATTTAAACTAAGTTAACCAGGCTGATATTGAAGTAAATACAAGTGTATATCTGATGAACACATATAGTTACTTTAATATCAGCATTATTACCTAGTTTAAATTGACTGTGATTCGAACACTCTTGTATCCTAAACTCACTCTGTTGTTGGACCTCATGGTCTGAAATGCAACTGTGCAAATAAATCATTTTATTTATACATTAGTTTCCAGTACGTAATTGATGATCTTCCTACAATATTAAATACAAATACTCAGTATGCACTTCAGATCTTATCTAAACTATATTCGTTGCTATTATGATCCTAAAATTTTACCAATTCTCCGCTCAGATCATTTTTTATTTCTCTGTTTGAATTCTCAACAATCATTAACACCACCGTTTGTGAATCAGACCTTTTTTGATCACTCTAATCATTCAGAACCGCATCAACTAGAGAGTCTGCTCTAACTTAGTGAAAAATCTAAGTTTAAGTAATTTATCAATTATTTATATTAGTAATTGCTTGAGTGCAGGTTCTTCTCTTCCTCTGTTGTTAAGGTTAGGTTGAGGTTAGGTTAGGTTAGGTCAGGTTAGGTTAGGTTAGGTTGTGCTAATTTTAATGCTTGCCTCAATGATTTTTGGTCCGTTGGCATCCATTTGTAACTGGATTGCAGCCACAAGTGGCTGTCGAAAAATCTTGCGAGAGGTGTGACCGTCGAGCTCATGATCATTCCTAGGATTGTCTCCCCTTTGTGTTGCCTCTGTTGCCTCTGTCCGCTTTGTTGTCCGATGATGTCGTCCGCGCCACCTTCTTCTCGGTCCCTTCTATTTCTGATATTTCTTTCGCCTTCCGATCCAATATGCGCCTGATTGTCAGCAAGTCCGGATCCAGCGGCGAGTTGAAATGTACGAGCGCCCTCGTCCTCGCGTTGCGCCACCAGTTCAGGCGATCCTTGTTGACCACTTCGGCGAAGGGGTACACCTCGATCTTCGCGACCTCGTACCCAATCTCCCCCGGAGTGGTTAACCTTAATGATGTACCTCGTTCCTGATGAGAGATATATTGCGATATTACGCCATCTTTGGTAAGTGATGTTTCTAGTGCTAACGCTTGTTCGAGCCACCCACCTTCCGAACCGGCTGCGGATGACTTTTGTGATGTAACATCTGCACGTCGAGTTCAGGTAGTCGCACGTGTGACAGACGTGGATGTGGTTTCCGTAAAGAGGGCCGAAAGAGGCGCCCTATCCGTCCGGATGGGCCCCAGCCTGTCCCGTCTGCGGCCCTCCAGGGGTGAGATGGTGGGCAATATAACATAACCTAACCTAACCTAACCTAACCTAACCTAACCTAACCTAACCTAACCTCTTCCTCTTGTTGTTCCTTCCCCTTCAAACAGTTCCGTAAAAGGTGTTCCTTGCTCAAATTGAAAATCCAGTGTCGCCCAGCAGGTCCAGTCTCTGTATTTTTAAGAATCAAAACAGTATAATACTTCCTTTATTCTAAGCATTTGTTAGCTAATTGCCTTACTGGAGTGCCATTATTAATTTTATTGTTTGATATCTCTTTGTGCAATATGTACTTGCCTTTGGATGTTTAATGGTTCTCTCCAAAAAACTAGATTGCAATGAAGTTTTATTTTGGTACTATTCTAAACTCGAGGACTAATCCTATGTTTTGAATCAATCGGTCATTGATTTTCTTCTTGCTATAATCATTTTCTCAACCTTATCAGTATTTGTTATTTTTACGTCTCTAGGTTAACCAGATTGCAATGGAAATGTTAACTTCTCTGCATTAATTTGTGTGAGGGAATTCCAAACATCCATGTTACTCCGGAGAATCCAATCCTGTCATTTGCATACTACTGAGACTGTTTTTTTTTTCAGTTTCTTCCATTTGCCCTCTTTTTATTTTTTCCTCTCAAGCCCCTAATTATGCGAGCTCATGGAGAAAAGAATGAAGTAATAATTATTCAGTTCCAACTTGTCCTAAATTTTACGCAGCATAATTCTATCTTTTGTGAATGAACAAATATAATTTTCTACCTATACTTAAAAGGGCCCATAGTTCTATGATGCCCATTTAAATGTGAATTTTTTCAGTGGAGTTGATTTTTTAGCTCTTACTGGGCTAGTCGTAAGAATCTAAAAAATCTGTTAAAATTTAGCTGATTCTTATCAGTGGTGTAACTAGAAATCTTTACTCCCCTCCTCTTTTCCAATCTAAGGCCTGTCTATTTTCTTCTCCATCTTCAATTTGTGCGCAGATCGGAACGCCAAGCCTCCGCCCGAGAGGGAAGGCTGGACGACAGTTACGCCACTGGTTCTCATGCTTCATAATGTAACATTTCCTAAAACTAGAGGATAATTTTCCTTTGTAATCTGGAACAGGTATATTTTGCATAACTTAATTTTTTGCCTTTCCTTCTTCTTGTTCAACCTTTTTCATTGCTGCTCTTCTCTGTGGAGGAATAATTTTGAACAAGAAGAAGGAAATCTTCAACAATTAGAAAATCGACAATATGTATGATTGACTCCATTTATCAAACAAAAATTAAAAAGTGGCAGATTAGAATAATTATTTGCACGGCAACCAGTAATATTAAAACTAACTTAGTTTGATTGAAGTTTACCTACCAAAAGTTTTAATTCAGTGATCAGTTTGCCCAAATTTCTTTTTATCTTTAACACAAAATCTAATTTTGGTACACAGTGTATTCATGATCTCTTCAAAATTTCATGAATCTTACAAATATTTCTAATTCTACTGCAATCTATTCTGTGAACATGCTCTTGTATTAATAATTAGAAGTCATTGTGCTTGTATTTGTTACTTTTGTGCCTCTGCTAAATTTTCAAGTGCTTTATATTGAGCTTTTCAGGAAATCAAGAGCTAAATTTTTTACTTCATTAATTCGCCCATCTAAATGTACTGTTGAATTTGATGAGCTGGATGCTTTGTTTTTTCATTGCACTTGCTGAATGAAACATTGCTGTACTTATTTTTTATGATGTTGAACTCATATGATTCTGATAAGGAGAGTTAATAGCTGAAAAAAACATCGAAAAATGTTTCTTCAAAATTTACCTTCCCTGGAAGGTAAGAAATATGTGTACTTGAAGTTTAAAATAGGTCGAACAAATTTTGTTGAATTTTCCATACGGAGAATTGGATCTGCAAAAAGCTTTCCCAATGTAATGTAGGCCCATCAGTTTATTTTATATAATGGTACCACAGTAACATGCATATGCATGGCCAAAGTGCAAAACCAAGTATCTCCATAGCGGCGTTTTACAATATCTGCTCCTATTTTCTTTTTTCGAAGAGAAACAAGCCAACCTTATAGCTCGACATTTTTGCATAATACTCTGCTAAAAAAGAAGAAGAATCAATTCTAAGTTTTCAAGAAATTACGAGGACACGTTTACTATGGAAAAAATAAAGTATAACAAGATGCCTGCAACATTGCTGGCGGAGACATATGGTTTCGCACTTCGGCCATTGATATGGTATCACAAAAAGGTTGCATGCCAGCAACTGACCGAATTCGTTCTGCTAACCTCATCTGGGCGGATTTTTAGTCGTATTTTATGCAGTTGTTTATGAAGTATTTTTTTCTGAAAGCAATAGGAAGTAATTGCAGGACCAATGAATATGCCAAAATAGTTTCTTCCATGCATTCATAGGCTCGATAAGTAGTACAAAATACATACTTAAGTTATACTTTAAATGCATTTTAATGTGCTGTGAAACAGCAGATTCTCTCATGTAAGAATTGTCAGTTAGTTGATATTCTAAGTTGATTCAATCAGTATTCTTCCCTTTCTTCTTCACTGGGGGTGTACAGCAATAAATGTTAATTAAGAAGCATAATTTAGAAGCATAGTTACCAGGTGGGACACTAAAATAGTTCAGTTTCAACCTTAAGTAGGAGACTTTCCGGTGCTCACAAACATGTTGTGCAAACCCATCGACTAGAGCTGTGAATTGCTGATCTAAGCTACTTCCATTCAATCTTTCCCTCTCTTTTTTGCTGGTCGCTTTATCATTGTTTTGTGCCTTCGTTGTTCGTCATTTTTGTCAGGTATAAATTTTTAGGCTTTTAAAGAATATTTGTTCAGCTTTTTATAGCTTTTTTTCTAATGTCTCAGCTCCAATTATTTTGAGCTTCCAATTTTTGAAGGGTATAATCCTTAATTGCAATTGTAATCAATGGAATTAGAACTTGCGTTTGGTAAGTTGGCAGTTTGTAACTTCCAGTTGGCACATTCCGTTTGTAAGCAATCGCATGGCAGTTGTCCAATAGCCATGGAGAATTGACTGCGTGCAACAATGCTGTTGTGTGCAGAATTGTAAATCAGTCTACTGCATGTGACAGCGGAAAGTAAGCAAATGCCAACCTATCTCACATGAGTTCTACTTAATTTATGTAAGAGTATCCAAGTTTACCTGATAATTTTTTTTATCTTATTGACCTTTATTTATTTGATTGACTTCAATTTCATTTTGAGGTATGGCCTCCTCTCATGAATAAAAGTTGGCCTTTTTTTAATAAACCCTTCTTTTTTCTCAAATATCTATTATTACAGTTTACTGATATTGGTGCTATCTATTAATCATAATTTACATAATCTACTTATTTTTCTGAGCAGAGTAACCAATATTTATTCCTCTTATATTCTGTCGAACCTGAAGCACTGAGCTTGTCCTTTGCCTGTCGTGAAAAATATTTAAATAAAGTTGCAGTCCATGTAGCCTGAAACTCTAAGGTTAAAATGTTTAGTTTTGTTAAATTTTCACGTATGTATTTTCATCCAGATTCTACACGCACATACTTTTAATAGAGTGGCAATCAGTTGTCATGATGTGCTGGCTGTTTTTTTTCCTTTAATTTCTTTCTAATCAAATTTTAACAACAAGACTAATATCTGAGTGAGAAATTTAACAACACGGGTGTAGGACTCACAAACGGCGAGAAATCTAATCAAAATTTAAATTACCTCTTAAAAAAAACTTATTCTTGCTAACAGCCTTAATTCTTAAAAGTCTATCTCTACTTAAACCCCTAATTTGTTTTTAAGATCTTCTCAGAGAAAAACTCCTTCCAGAAAAGTTAAAAATCTTTTTTAGAAAAGTTCTGCTCGCTTGTGACTTAACGAAAAGTTGTTAAGAAGTAAATGAAACCCTTGTAGACCTGCAGTCTGTAAGAAATTCATTTAAAAGTTGTTAAGAAGTAAATGAAACCCTTGTAGACCTGCAGTCTGTAAGAAATTCATTTAAAAGTTGTTAAGAAGTAAATGAAACCCTCGTAGACCTGCAGTCTGTAAGAAATTCATTTGCAGGATGTTACAGTTTGATCAGTCCAAAGGATCTAATAGATCTAGATGAGGAAGATATGTAAATAATCATCATATATATTCAGTGTGATGACAATCAAGTTATGGTTTAATCGTGATTTTATTTTTTGTCAAATATATCAGATTGAAAACTTTGTATTTCCCATAAAGGTGGCCAAATGCGAATATTCGTATCTCAGTTGCATTGTCTGAAAATCTTTGAGTACATTTTACTCTCCCGAGGAGAGCTAACCAAAATGTTTCCTTGAAATTTTCAGTTATTTGTTTTGGAATAAAGGAAGAAATTTCATAGAAAATTTCAGTAGAAACGGTTGATCAGTTTCTCTACAAAGATGTAAAACATGAGTGGAGACTTACAAGGTTAAACGTTACACGTTAACAGCTATAACGTTGCTATCCGAGATTCCTATTTTTCGACTTTGGCCATTAAAATGAAACTTTAAGTTTGCTCAACTGAAAGACCGAAGTGTTCAACCTGAATTGAACCTTAGGTTCTGGTCTACTTTGTTGCCTAAGAATGGTTCAATTTCCTTTTTGCAATGCTTAAGGTGCCTACAAGTAATGTGTCTCACAATGTAAGCATAGAACATCTAAAGTCTCTGCAACATAAACCCCAGTTTATATTCAAACCCACCTGTTCTTTAGTATAGTTATAATGACTCTACCTATGTAGTCATATTTTCAGAACTTGTTTTTCAGGATTTTCTATGTTCAAGGAATCTAAGTCCGTATACTTTTAGTTAAATAATAATTCACACATATGCAATGTACATAAGTAAGTCTTATATTGGCATTGTCCAGTGGAAACTGCCAAATGCTTTGAACGTATCACTATTTTATTTTTATGCTTCTCTAAAGTTCATCTTCCACTCAGCATCGTTGTGTTCAATATCATAACTGATCATTATTCATTTGACCTTTTTCACATTCATACATAGTCATTAAGCAAGAAAAAACACTAAAAAATGAACCTTAAGCATACCAATATAATTAGGCTACCAATTTTTCGGAAGAAACCAGGATTTCACATAGATCATTTAGATCCTCAGACAAATATACCTCCATTTCTAATACTTATTAGACAGATTCCTTTTAAATTAAACTATGACTAAAATCAAAAACTCCCTGTTGAAGGTGGATCTCCAGTTTTGGCAGAATGCATCACGGGTACGATTGATTTATTTCAGATTTTAATCATTAGGAGGATTATTTTAGAGAAATCTCAATTTCAGTCTCCAGATCAATCATTAAGGAATATTCGATGATCACTTTCCAATTACTGAAAATATAGTCAAAAATACTCTTTTGAGCCATCGATATCTATAGATTGAAATCCGTTAAAAATTAAAAAAAATTATCTCTGATTTTACTATAAGATTTTAGAAAATGACTCTCAGGACAAGCATCCCAATGATTGATCTGGAGGCAAACATCATTCCTTGTATATAAATCAAACCTCATGAACATTATCACAAACTATTTGTTATCAATCTCTCTTATATGAGATCTCTGTCATCTTAAAGCATTCATTTTCTCTTTAAATAGACAAAGAAGACAAAATTAAATGCTCCATAATGATTGGAATCATACACACAAAATATTGAAAACAGATTTCAGTTTTTTCTGATCTCTCTCTGGGCAAATCTGGTCTCATCAATGGAGACCTGGATGGTACTCCAGAAAGAGTGTATCCATCAACGTTGAAATTAGGGTTGTCATCGTGCGCACTTACTAGTAAGGTTTTCTGAAAGTAGTTACACTCAAGATAATTAAATCAGTTGAAAAGTCCACATAGGCCATCATCAAATTACTTAAATTTTTGATGATTGATCTGGAAGCTGAAATTTTCCCAAAATAATGTACCTAATGGTTAAATTTTGAACTGTATTGTTCAAACCCAAAATGCATTGCTCCATGAATCTGGGTCGCTTGTAGCGAATTTATAAACAAGTTCTTTTTCCATCACACTTCTTGTTTTGATTGTAAGTGTACTTCTTTTTAATTTTTCCGACAATGCTGGTTGTTTTTAATCAATAATCCTTAGTCTCGCGCATTTATATATTTTTTAGCTAGTTGTTATAATTCAAAATTAATTTATTTATTTATCCCTTGTTAATACTCTGTTATTTAAAGTTTGTTTTTTTGTTGACACAGTCATTATCATGGTTACTTTTATGCTCTACATATTTTCTTAAAATTGCTACATGTAGGAAATTTTATCCTATGAATCCATACTTGGAAACATACGACTCAGTTTTTCCATGTAAGAATTGATGAACCTAAACAAAGTTCCATCTTTTCTTCTTTGTGTGCTCTATTTATTCCTTTTATACTCAGTCAACGTAATTAAATTGCTCCATTAGGGCTTTTTCTTTAATCCAAACCGCAAGGGATTGGGACGAACCAAGTTACTTTTTTTTTTATCATAATCCAATCAGATCTATGCTTGTTCCGAAGGAGCGCTTTGATTGCCCTTCCAAGGTTAGGTCCAATCTCAACCTCAAATTGAACCGGTTTAAACTGCAGGTAACCCAATCCATCCTGTTTCATGCATTCTCTGGATTTAAAAAAACAACTATTAACTGTAAAAACTGAAAAACCCACCCTTTTATCTTTCAAAGGCTGATCTGAATTAATGCCACATTTATACCATCAAGTATTTTTGTGTTATTTGCCACCAAAAATTTGACAGATTTTTTGATGAAAACTGATGAATTTATCACAGATCATCTCCACCTTTCCGCGAATTTCCAATAGTATTTTGTGTAAGCAACTATTTACCATTCTACTTAAATATCAATGACTGTATTAAGTCTTTTATCTAATCACATTTCCAAATGATGGAAATTCATTAATTAATGTTGTTATATCTGCAAAAGTATTGCCCGTATGTCTCTTAATTCTCACTACAAAATTGAGTCTTTAGAAATCAAAATATGTTAGAAAGTTTACTAAATCTGGTCAGTTTTAGTTTTCACTTCTTTTCTCTCTTTTTTTTTTTCGCACCCCTCTTTTTTCTCCTTGTACTAATATAGGTTTGAGCGGTGATTTTTAAGAAGTAAAAAAACTGAATGTTCTTTTTCATTGAAACACATGTTTCCTGTAACTTCTATTCCAATCAAGAGATATTCCAATTATATTTTTTAGTGTTTTAGCAGAAATCGCATCAGTTTTTCAGGGTAGTAAATCAGATTTTACATACAATTACTATCTTATCTCAAATAACTAAATTAGTATCACAAGATACTCTGACAACAAGGCGGTGTGTGAGTTTCAGGCTTACTTCATTGTAGAAAGAAAAGGTTCATTGGGGAGATATAATTTTAAATGTCATACTTGTAAAGCATTACGATAAATTATACCTCCTACACAATTCAGATGCATTTATTTTAACCATACGGGCAAATGAATAGCAAGATAACTCTGTAAATATGTCACTTTACATTTTAGAAGAGATCCCCAGTTTGTAAAATTTATCTCAAACCCAGAGAAAATAGTGTAATCAGTGTAAGTTGAAAATTGTTTTTTTAAAGTAGCCCAGTTAATGTTCTTTTCTTGCATGTTGTAAAGTCTTTATTGATTTTTAAATAGCGTGAGATCTGGGTTCTATTTTAATTACATTGAATTATTAGGTTTTGGTTGTCCAAGTATTTCTTATTTCAACTTTTTTGTTTTTAACTTTTAACCATTCATTGTTTCCTTCATTTGTAACCAGAAACAGTTTAAAATGGATCCGATGGTCAAAGTTTTCAGTGTAACACTTTAGTAGGTGTAAATTAACTAATTAATTCAAAATTGTGTTGTATTTATTGAACATACTCAAATAAAATTGATTGTATTTTACTTACAAACATTTTCTCTGAGTTGTGTTTTCTTAAAATCTCTGAATAAGGGATCCCCCCGAAACAATAATAGCTAGAATAATGCATGTGGCTAATCTCTTTCAATTTCCGAAGAGTAGTAAGTAGTACTACTGTACCACTTGAAGTGTTTTTAATTAGGCTCCTTTTTTTGAAGTGAAATCAGAGTTTTCCAAGTGCACTTTAACAATCTAAAATTTTATGTAACCATTACTTTTTCTTTTCTCTTTCCTTGTAATATGCAGATGTACTCACAGAATCAAAAATTTTGAAAAGAAATTTTTTTTTATTTAAAAAAAAATACTTCCATACCTCATACATTTTATTTTATTAATGTTAGTTAGATTTTCTAACAGTGCACCAAAATTTGGCAAATGAAGGCCTGGAGCGTATGTACAAATTTAACTAAAATAAATGTAATGCACCGTATGAAGGTGACTCTTATTTTACAGAGAATTTGGCTAATGAGATCGAACAAAATGAGACACATGTGTTGGAAAAAAAGATGAAAGAAAGCACTGGAATTGAACAAAAGTTTTAAATGCTAGGATGATTGCCTTTAATGAGCATATTTTATGGATTTTGGAGAAAAAAAACAAGGCGAAGAATTTCCCTAATCAACCTTCCTGGAGTTCGAATTTGTAGAGCATGAAAGATTGCTCAGAAAAACTCCATTTTATACTGCAAGCAAAGGAATAGGAGGAAGGGGGGGGAGGCAGTCTGCAAATGATACTAATTCTCCTGAGTAAGACAGGCCAAATACTAATATTTTTATTAGACTAATATGTATCAGTCTAGTAGTTGCAATACGACAGTGAAACTACCAGACCACGTATCTCGTTTGCAGTATATTTAAAAATCTCTATTTCTATTTTATTTGTTTGAAAAAGACACAGCTTGAACTTTTCACAGAGTTTTCCTCGCGCAGAGAAGAAAAATCACGGACGTTTCCCAGAATTGACGTAGGGATGCTTTCCATTTAAAAAAGAAAATATGACAGGGGGTCAACAAAGTCGCAGACCAAGATACCAGGTCAGGTAGTTTCACCGTCGAAAAGTCAATGAAATTTATATAAGACCAAGTACGATGAGTACGATCTATCAACGTTATTCAAGAGACACCCCTCCCCCCCCTACCACCATCAGTAGGTACCCTATCATTAAAATTTCTCATTTCTCAGGAGCTATGAATAAAGTCGGCTGTTTTTGAGATTTTTCCGTTTAAAGTTTAAAAAACCTTTTTAAATGTATTAAGTCAGATATTACCTAATCATTACAGAACAGCGTACACGTTAATTTTCTCAAACTTTTAAAACGCGTGATTTCAAACTTCGCGGTGATGCACTCTGCGCCACGTCTGCGAATCCACCCCGCACAAGAGATGACGTCATAATTATAACCCTTTGGCGAAGCCGCACATACCCTGTATACTTGCACCAAAGATATTATAACGGTTAGATATGCGGTACGGGCTTACCTAGGGCGGGGTATCTGGACCTGTTGGGGGGTACATGCGCCTGATGGGTAGGCAGCGTGTTTTACGAGGAGGCGAACTCTCCCATAAGAAATGCATTGGAGCGATGACAAAAAGCTGGTTTTAAACAAAAGAAGTGACTTTTTTCACGAAAACTGCCTGTGCAAGGAAAATATTTAAGTTGATAAATCCATCCGAAAAAAATTTTCACTTGCTTACGGCCGAAAAAGGTGAATTATAATACTTTGAAAGTTCAATTCTAGGGTATCTTTGCTTCCTCATAGAAGGCAGCATGAAATCTCGCTGGCGGGTGCTGGAGTGTAGAAAAACTGCTTAAAAGTGAATGAAAATTAGATCCTGTAAAAAAGAAACTAAAACTTGGTAGAAAAACTTGTAAAATGTATTATTTTTTACTTACCTTCGAAGGATCTTCTTGTGCGCTGAACACCTGGTCGCTCCGGGTTGGTGCAAAAGTACTGTTTGAAAATGTATCATAAATAACTGGTGCAATTTTCACTGAACCAAATGTGTTTTCAAGTTTTAGAAGTTTTTTAAAAAATTCAAAGTTCGAATTCCGACTCAAAAATCCCTATGTTGCATGGACATGATACCTATGCTGCAAATTAGAAACGTATCCTAAAATTGCCTTCACTCTAAATCCTCTAGAGAATTTTTGATATGCACTCAAATCCTCATACATACTTAAAGCAATTCTAACACGGTTAAAATGATGGAAATTTTGCTTCAAATGTCTGAACAAAGACTTGACGGAGAGAATTTTACTAGTAGCGTGAAGTGCCTCATTCGAAGAGATTCCAAATTCTCTTTCTTTCTCAGAGATAAAAATCAAACTGGAACTCCTCTGATTAGGAGGGAGAAACGGTTTCAGGAAATCATAAAGATTGAAAAGCTTGTTAGAGAAAGTGCTGAACTACCC